TTGTCATCCTGTTGATCTTGGTAGTGATGTTAACTCCTCCAGCTGCTCTGTGGTGGCAGCTTCAGAACTGCACACTTCTGGTGGTTAAACTGTTCATGTATATCTGTAGTTCCTCATCAGAAAGTTCTGCCTGAGGCCGCTTACAATTAAGGGAACTTTGACTCTTGAAACCCGATACCCCAAAAAATCTTGTTGAGTTGCTATTGGACTCAAATTTAGCTGTTCTACTGCAGACCAACACAGCTGTCCTCTAAAACTAATTTAAATAATGTTATAAATATCTACAAACAAAACCAGCCCAGGGATAGAACCAGCATAAAACTATCCATAAAACTAGAAGTAAATCACTAAAAATTATTTAAAAAAACAGCAACCCACACCCTGATTGAAAGCCTGAGTAAAAAAAGATACAATTGTGACTGGCATCTAAAAGAGAGTAGTTTAATTACCAGGCAACCCACAAGGAGAAGGGCATTCCACAGGTGTCACCACCAAAAATGCCCTGTCTGTAGTTGCCACTCACCTCAGCTCTGAAGTCAAGGGCAGAGAGCTGGACATGAGAGGCATCTATTAATAAGTGGGTTGGATACTATGAGAGGAGATAGCCCTTCAGCTGCCCTGGCCCCAAGCTGTTTAGGGCCTTAAGGGTAAACACCAGCACTTTGAATTGTGCCTGAGAAGGAAGAGGAGGATGGATTTATACCCCAACCTTCACTACCCAAAGGAGTCTCAGAGTGACTTACAATCTCCTTTCCTTTCCCCTCCCCACAACAGACACCCTGTGAGGTAGGTGGGGCTGAGAGAGCTCTTTCAAGAACTGCTCGTGAGAGAATAGCTTTGAAAGAACCAAGGTCACCCAGCTGGCTGCATGTGGAGGAGTGGGGAATCAGACCTGGTTCTCCCAGATTAGAGTCTGTGCTCCTAACCACTACACCAAATTGGTGGCCACTGTAGACTTTTCAGTATGAGGGAGATATTGTCCCTGTTTCCAAGCCCCAACAAAAACCTGGTTGCCACATTTTGGACCACCCGAAATGCAGATTTTTCAGCACTGGGGTGACTTATTTCCAAACTAAGTCTTAATGCTCTGTCCCCAACCACAGATCCTGTGAAGATTTAAGGACACTTAAGTTACTTCAGGCTTTTCTACGTTCTCATTTTCCTTGCTTGGGTCGTCCTGTTGCTCATGGAGCGTTCTGTTGTGCATATGTTTTGCTCCCTCTAGCGGTTGATTCAATATTACATTGCTGCAGATTTTTATGACAGACATAAACAGATGTAATATCGAATCGACCTCTAGAGGGAGCAAAACACATGTGAAACAGAACCCCCCCCCCAAGCAACAGAAACACACAAGAGAGGCAAATAAGAATGTAGAAAAGCCCATTAAGAGGGACTGGTAATGTCTCCCACTTTGCCTAGTCTGCTGTTCCCAAAGGGTATGCTAATCTCCAGGACCAAAATTTTGGCAGCCTCAGTCAGCTCCAGCGGGAGGGGGGAAACAAGTGGAAATCACTGCCCTCTTTTGAGAAAACGTAATGCCTTTGGCTGGATACTGGATCGTCTCTTCCCAGAACATCTGGCGTATGTTGCCTCTTCACAGGAGCTCAAACAATAAAACAAAACCAAGACAATAAACAAGTCAATAAAACCGAATCACACCAATAAAACAAGCCCAGTCAATTAATATAAACAACAACAAGCACATAAAACAAACAACACAGACTAGACGAATACTGCTAAAACAGGCCTTGGGCAAGGAGTAGAACGTGAAACAGCCAGACAAGATGGAACCCCTTTAGATAAAAGCCTTTGTAAAGATAAATATTTTGGCCTGGCGCCTATAGGAAAGTAAGGTAGGTGCTAGGCGAGCCACAAGGAGGAGGGTGTTCCATGGGAGAGGTGACACCACTGAAAAAGCTCTGTCTCTGGTCGCCACTTGCCTCACCTCTGCAGTGGAGGCACAGAAAGGAAAGCTTGAGGAAGAGGATTTTAACTGGCCAGGCTGAACAGTATCAGAGGAGGAGGTTCTTTGAGCACCCCCGTTTGGGGCCTTACAGGTAAGAACCAGCACTTTACATTGTAATCACAAATAGATAAGCAGCCAACGTAGATCTTTCATCAAAAGGGTGATATGATCCCTGTATCTACAAATGTATGTCTCATCAAGTCGCAATCAACTTAAGGTGAACCTAGCAAGGGGCCTTCAAGGCAAGGGAGAAGCAGGCGTGGTTTGTCGTTGCCTTCCTCTGCAGAGTCTTCCTTGGCAGTCTCCCATTCAAGTACTGACCCTGCTTAGCTTCTGAGATGTGACAAGATCACACTATACCATGCTGCCTTCGAACTGTGTTATCTAGCCGCTGATAATAACCTGTCTGGGAGGCACATTCTGGATCAACTGAAGCTTCCAAGCAGTTTTCAAAGGCATGCCCTTTACAATAATCCAACCTGAGATTTGATCAGAGCACGGATTACTGCAGCCAAATCATGGTTTTTGAGGAATGCCCATAGCTACAGCTGACAGGATCAGCTGACAAAAGGCACTGCAAGCCACTGAGGGAACCTGAGCCTCCAAACAAAAGCCAGGATCCATCACACAGTTACCCTCAAGTTACCATTAGGTGCTGTTTTGGTTAGAAAGCAACTGATCGGTCCCTCCTCGAGACTGTAAAGAACAACAGATAGCCAAAAAAATATCAAAACCCACAATGGCGAATAATGTAACTCTCTTGAGGACGCGATGGGGAAAGCGAAAACCAGAGCATCTTTGTTACTAACAATTGCCAGCCTAATTAGAGAGGGCTTTGATCGGCTACCTTTTCATTAAGAACTGGCAATGAATAGAACCAGCATCGTGCCTTGGGCTGGGCCCATCAGTGGGTTAAAAGTGAGTGGCTTGGGAATAAGATGCCTTAGTTTTGCAGGGTTTGCAACAGACCAGGTCCATCAAGGCAGTGACGTAACCTGATTTTGTTCCCTCCTCTGCGGCATAAAGGGGCGGCTTTGGAAGCTCCATACTGAAGGAAAGAAGATTCTCTCTTGGGAACAGGTCAGACCCTCTTCTTAATTCTTTTTACCCACTACCTGTTCCTTTTAACCCAAGGAAGCTGAGGGGTTGAACCCAAGACCTGCATGCAAAAGCAGAGGCTCTGTCACTGAACTGTGGCCCCTTACCATGTTATAGGATAGTTACTAAGAATTTATGGGTTAGATCACCCTTCAGCTAAACTGGATCTAATGCTCTACTATCTTTACTGCAATTAGTAACAGCTGACTCTTGGTTGGGAACTTGGCTTAGCCCAATTGACTCAAAGTTTGCCATATTAAACCTGAGCCTAAATTCCAGGGACTCACTGGGGGGAAAAGTCTCCGTTAACCTTACAGAATCGATTGTTTTTAAAAGATTGGGTTATGCTAAATCTCCAAGATGATAGGAAATGTTCCCCTATTCACTTCCATTTATCTGATCAGAAAATGCTTGAATTGTCTAAATAGTTTTTTTCTATTTAACAGTTCCAAAGAATTGTCGCTCTTTCCTGTTACTTAGATACAATGCATTGCCTTCCACTGAGATGAAGGGTGGTTTTAGTGGGAAACCTCCCTCCTCCCGAGAAACGGTTCTGCACTTACTGTAAAGATCAAGTTGACTCAGTTGCCCATGTCCTTTTTAGTTGCTCCTGTTATACCTCATTTTGCAACCAATGTGTTATTCCCTGAACTGACCGTCTACAGAACATCTCGGAGCAGCAGAAACTAAAGGATTTACTATCAGGCAAGATTTTTAAAAAGTCTACATGCGAGATTTAGCCATATTTATTTATGCAGTTATAAATTACTTATAAAATACTCCCAACCTATGGCTTGTAGGCTGTTGTTACAGGGAAAGGTAAGGAAGTTGAGGGGTTGAACCCAAGACCTTCTGGATGCGAAAGCAGAGGCTCTGTCACTGAACTGTGGCCCCTCCCCAGGGTGTACGATAATTGCTAAGAATATATGGGTTAGATCATATGCCTCCCTTCAGCTAAGTGGATCTTATGACTCTCTTTTGCCAATCTCAGGCAGGTAAGGTGGGTTGGTCTGCAGCAATGCTTCCTCTAAGCTGTGGTCTATGTGTGAGCAAAAATTCCACTTTGTGAGCTACTGGCATTAAAGTTGTGAGGGAGCAATTTGGCTACTGCATAAATTAGTTTGCTCTGGAGTCATCCGTCCTGAGCTAAGACAAAAATGTGTGAGCCGGAGGCTAAAAAGCTGTGAGATAGCTCACACTAACTCAGCTTAGAGGGAACACTGGTATGCAGTAGAATAGCAAGATTCGAATGCAGTGGCACCTTCAGATAGCAACCAGATTCCCAGGTAGAAGGCATCGAGAGTCAGATCTGACCAAGGGAGTTTGACTGTCAAAAGCTGATACCCTAGGAATCTTGTTGGTCTTTAAGTGGCACTGGACTCGAATCTTGCTCTCTTTTGCTAAGTTTCGCTTCAAAGGTGGAGAAAGGCTTCCTCTGATAGAGAAAAATCTTTTTTGTTGAAGGAAGTCTCTCACGGTTCGAGGGAAACTTGTTGGAAGGCAGCTGTAAGATCCAACTTAGCTGAAGGGAGTCATAAAAACAAACCTTGGCTGCAAACTGATGCCTGTGTATCTGGGAGTAAGCCCCCTCATGTACCTGGGACAGAGTTCCAAGTAGACTGACTTGGATTGCACTGTAAACTGCAAACTTGGAAGTCCATGGCTTGAATTTTCCCTTTATCACAAAAAACAGATGGACTTAGTCGGATCAGCTTTCTTAGCCCCTGACCTACCTTCCTAGGTCGTTTCTATGGACTGCAGCCAGATAATGTATGCAAAGCACTTGGAACACTCTCAAGTGTTATATAAAATGCCGTGTCTTAACTGTGATTCAGTGAGTAAGGGAGTAAATCCAGATCTTGCTAGTCTAAATGTAGCCCTGTGTCCGCTACATCACACTGGGATTTAAACCACAGAAGTAAATTCCAGCTGAAGATCTTCCTTTTTCTTTTTCAAGGGACCAAACATCACCTGACACAGTCCGTCGCCATGACAGCCTTGATCATCCATGTCTTTATTCTGCTCTTGGTTTCCTCTTTGGGTAAGAGTTTGTGTGATATTTGAATGAAAATGAATGTGTAGAGCCCTATTTTCCTCTAGGGCAGGCAGTCCTCAACTTGTTGAACTCGTAGGCAGCTTTGGAGTTTTGAGAACAGTCAGGGAGTGGTCCACCAAAATGGCTGCCATGAGGGTTCAGTTCAATCAAAAAAAGTTGAGAGGTTTCAAGCCTTCTTCTAAGATAGATTCTGCTATTTCTGAATAGGTGTTTCCTGCTTGGGCTCTTCTTGGTGTAGTGGTTAAGTGTGTGGACTCTAATCTGGGAGAACTGGGTTTGATTCCCCACTCCTTCACTTGCACCTGCTGGATGACCTTGGGCAAGCCATAGTTCTGGCACAGCTGTTCTTGAAAAAGAGCAGTTTCTGTCAGAGCTCTCTCAGCCCCACCTACCTCACAGGGTGTCTAATGTGGGGAGGGGAAGGGAAAGGAGTTTGTGAAGGATGGGGTATAAATCCAATCTCTTCTTCTTCTTCTTACTTCATTGACATGAAGAATATTGAGATTTGACTGTTTTGAGGAAGAGATGTTTTGAGGGAGAAAGAAGAGGGCATCAAGAAACATATTGGTGGACCCCATGACTCCTATGGGCACTATGTTGGGTATCACTGCTGTAGAGTCATGGGAAATTTTACTTCATTCCTTGTGGGGCAAAACAAAGGAGAGACTGGGAGTTCTGTGTGACTGGAACTCCCATACAATACCATATAGGAGAAATACAGCTATATAAACATAAAAGCACCCCACTGAGGTCCCTCCCCCCCCAGGCTCCCCCCCCAAAAAAATCTCTAGAAGTTTTTCACCCTGGACCAACCCTAGGCCTGTATTTTTTTACTGCTGAGGAAACCTACTGATATGGTAATCGAAAGAAAGTCAGTCTGAACTGGTATTTTAACTTGTGCATCAGGTAAAAGATTTTCAGCAATGATCCATTATTAAGGCTTTTAAATTTGTTAGTACCTGCTAAACAATTCTTTACCTCCCCAAAATCCTATCTGAATTAGGCAACTTATCACATTTGCATGTATCAAATTTGCATGTATTTGAATGTTTTGCATCCTCTGCTTTGCTTCTGCAAGTCCTAGGGAGGGGGCAATGAAGCCTGATCTTGAGGGTACCTGATGAACCCACCACACCAGGCCTCATAGGCCTCTCTAGGCATTGCTCACCTACCACCAAGCCCTAAGCATTAGAAACTTAATTTTCAAAAAATGAAAGTGGAGATTTCCCAGAAGCTGGGTTATGCACCGAACTCCCTGGAGAAAATGGCTGCTTTGGAGGGTGGTCCCTGTGGCATTGTACCCCACTGATGTCCCTGTCCTCCCCAGGCTCCACTCCCAATTCTCTAGGAGTTTCCCAATCCCAACCTGGATCTGGCAACCCTAACCCCCTCCATTCCCTGCCGGTGGCCAGGGGGGACCTGACAACCCTATTGGGGGGCTGTCAACTCCAGGTTGGGAAACTCCTGGAGATCTGTGGTGGATACTAGGGTGGACAGGGACCCCACTGGGGTACAATGCCACAGAGTCCACCCTCCAAAGCATCAATTTTCTCCAGGGGAAAGGATCTCTGTAGTCTGGAGATGAGCTGTAATTCTGGGAGGTCCCTAGGTCCCACCTGGAGGTTGGCATCCCTGCTTCACTTGCATGGCCAGGAGAATAACTCTGCCAGAAGAAGATTGGGGGAACAGGCAGGGCCGCTAACCTCCAGATGGGGTCTGAAGATCTCCCAGAGTTATAGGTGATCTCTAGACTACAGAGGTCAGTCCCTTCATAGAAAATGGCTGCTTTGGAGGGCAAACTCTATGGTATACCATAGATTCTAGGTGAAACCCCTCCACAGATTCCCCCCTCCACAGACCAACCCCCAAATCTCCAGAAATTCCCCAGGCTGCAGTTGGCAACCCGAGGAACAGGTCTGATGACCTAAGCAGCAGGGAGGAGAGGTTATGAAGAGTGCCCCATTATGGTGTGTAGATGCCAGGGAGTTGATGTCAGGCTTGGGCCTACTTACGCTCCTGTTTAAATCATTGGTACCTTTCCTTGCTTCCCTATAAAACAAACGCCTCAAGGTCTTTTCCAGAGCAGCAAATGCCTCCAATCCATGGGACATTCTTTTGAACAGCAGCCTAGGCAGGGGCTGACTTTTGGGTACATTGTGAGCAGAGAAAAGTCACATGCCTGGGTTGAAGTGACTAGAGAGCAATGTTCCCTCTAAGCTGTGGAGTCTTGTGAGCAAAAATTCTGCTTTGTGAGCTACTGGCATAAAAATTGTGAGCGAGCGATTTGGCTACTGCATAAATCAGTTTGCTCTGGAGCCATCCTCCCTGAGCTGAGTCAAAAATCTGTGAGCCGGAGGCGAAAAAACTGTGAGCTAACTCACACCAACTCAGCTTAGAGGAGTCAGACTGAGTGTGTTGCCCGTGATCTTCTGTGGTCACTCTTTGGTCACCATAGCACAGGGCAGTAGACGTGGCTCTTACTGGCTCCATTTTATTCTCAGCACAATCTTGTGAACTAAGTTGAGGAGGGGGCCATATGGTCACTCTGTGGGCATCCTGCTGCCCGGGATCGTCTGTGTTCACTGTATGGTCACCATAGAGTTTTTAGCCAAATGCTAGAGCATCCCCCGCACAATGTGCCCAGCACAATGACATCACCTCCAGGTGATGTCATCATCCCGGGCGCGGTGGGGCTCTTTGTGGGCAGGGCTCCCCCCACCAGCCAGCTGGCCGGCAGCGGGTTGGGGCCCTGAAATCAAGGAAAACCCCACCCCCATCGTGAGGATGACAACCCTAGTCACTGGAGCACACATGAAGCTGCCTTTTACTGAGTGAGACCATTGGTCTGTCAAGGTCAGAATTGTCTGGCACTGCCTCTCCAGGGTCTCAGGCAGAGGTATTTCACATCACCTACTATCAGATCCTTTTTACTGGAGATGCAGCGGACTGAACCTGGGACCTTCTGTGTGCAAGGCCCACCCCCAGTCACTCCTTCTCAGCTTAACTTGAACACATGAAGCTGTCTTATACTGAATCCGACCCTTGGTGCATCAAGGTCAATATTGTCTACTCGGAGACTGGGAGTGGCTCTCCAGAGCTTCAGGCAGAGGTATTTCACGTCACCTACTGCCAGATCCTTTGAAGTGGAGATGCTGAGGATTCAACCTGGGACCTTTCGCACACCAATCAGATTTTCTACCACTGAACTATGGCCCCCTCCCCAATTTAACTCACAAGACTGTGCTGAGAATAAAATGGAGCCAGTAAGAGCCATGTCCACTGCCCTGTGAGAGCCACTTTGGTGTAGTGGTCAAGTGCATGGACTCTAGCCTGGGAAAACCAGGTTTGATTCCCCACTCCTCCACTTGCAGCTGCTGGATGACCTTGGGCAAGCCATAGTTCCATCAGAGCTGTTCCTGAAAAAGCAGTTTCTGTCAGAGCTCTCTCAGCCTCACCTACCTCACAGGGTGTCTGTTGTGGGGAGGGGAAGGAAAAGGAGTTTGTAAGCCACTCTGAGTGAAGGGCGGGGTATAAATCCAATCTCCTCCTCCTCCTCCTCCTCCTCCTCTTCCTCTTCTTCTTGGTGGAATAAATGAAAGGTGTAGTGACTGTGGTTCCTGCCACTGTATGGTGTACAAGTCTGGATCAGCACAGGGGTTTCATAAGAATATAAGAGAAGCCATGTAGGATCAGGCCAATAGCCCATCCAGTCCAACACTCTGTGCCACACAGTGGCCAAAACCTAGGTGCCATTGCATATTCCATGCATATTGGTTCCTGTGGTTGGCACCTGATACCCTCCCCTGTGATCTGTTTGCACAGACTGAGGCTCTCTACGTGCTTGCTTTCTGGAGAGGCTGGGTGGTAACCATACCTTCTAGCTTCATGCACATCATGTTTTATTGGCATAAATGTTGACCGACCATCCCTTCATAGCCCAAACGCCTTTGTATATGAAAAGGTGCTGAGGGAAGGCCGCACTCAGGAACATACCCCTTGATTGAAGAAAGCAGTTTGCTGAAGGCTGTTCTCTGTGGCCCACGTGGCCATCCTCGAGAAACTCATCTGTTGTTCTGTGCAAAAACAAAAACTGGTTGGATCTCACAGGTTGGATCCAGTGAGCATTTTTGCTCAGTCTTGCCCAGTCTTGCCCTGGCCTGGATAGCCCAGGCAAGCCCAATCTTGTCAGATATCAGAAGCTAAGTAGGGCCAATCCTAGCAAGTACTTGGATGCGAGACCTCCAAGGAATACCAGGGCCATGATGTAGAGGCAGGCAATAGCAAGCCACCTCTCTGAACATCTCTTGCCTCCAAGTCCCACTAGGGGTCACCACAAGTCAGCCACTACCAGGCATGCGCGCACACACATGCACATATACACAAAAAATTACATATCTTGCCCAGTCCCCCTCCTTACTACAGCCCCTATCTCACTTGGCTTTTGTCCATGCGTGTCCCATGATTCAGAGTACAGCCTTCTTGGTGCTCAAAATGGATCACTTTCTCCCCTTTTCAGCAGCAGAGAATCTGGTTAGATCCCATTCAATGTTCCCTCTAAGCTGTGGAGTCTTGTGAGCAAAAATTCTACTTTTTGAGCTATTGGCATTAAAGTTGTGAGCGAGCAATTTGACTACTGCATAAATTAGTTTGCTCTGGAGCCCCATCCTTCCTGAGCTAAGACAAAAATGTGTGAGCCGGAGGCTAAAAAGATGTGAGCTAGCTCACATTAATTCACCTTAGAGGGAGCACTGATCCCATTCTTTTTTTTAAATTATTATTATGATTTTTTATTTATTTTTTATTATTCTATGACTCCCGTCCACTACATTGGATCCTGTGACTCCCTTCTACCAAGCGTTCTTCCAACAGAAACTGGACTTTTTGCCATCAGAGGGAGGTTTTCTCCACCAGATATAGTCTTTGTCCTTTGGAGGAAGACTTATTAGAATTCTCCCCCGGAGGAAGACTTAATAGAAGAGTATCATAAGACACCCCCCCTTAGTGACAAGGAGACACAGGATCCAACCTCAGACAAGTAAAATACCTTTAAGAATTTGATTGAGATTCCTCAGTCAAATTCACCGGAGTGTGCGTCTGAAAACCAACTAGGCATTTGTCAATGGAATGCATAGTTTGATTAATCCATGTGGTCAATCCCATGAACCTCTCCATACAAGTAAGAAACTTTTAAAAGAGATTTAAACCCAAACAAAATGTCACAGAATTCAAAGCTACAGCAAACTGGACTATCAGAACAGCATTGTATGGAAACTCAAGAAAGGTGGTCTTAAAGCTTCACAAACAGTGCAGTGCTAAGCAAAAGATTCCCCCCCCCCCAAATCAAGTCGCAACTGCCTTATGGCAACCCCATAGGGTTTTTAAGGCAAGAGATGTTCAGAGGTAGTTTGCCATTGCCGGCGTCTGCATAGCAAACCTGGATTTCCTTGGTGGACTCCGCTCCGAATACTGACCAGGGCTGAACCTGCTTAGCTTCTGAGATCTGATGAGATTGGGCTTGCCTGGGCTATCTAGGTCAGGGCAAATTACACCCTTCGAAACTAGTTGAAGTCAATTGGCTTAGAAGGGAGTAACTCTGCTTAGGATGCCATGGGAAATCTTGTAAAACAATAATGGAAGCAGAGCTCCGCATGGAAGCCATGAGGAGTGTGGTGTGTGTGTGTGTGTGTGTGTGTGGGTGAGCACATCTAAAAGTTAGAGAAAGTTGTTAATTGACTCATGTTTCTTACTCATGCCTGGTTGTTTTTAAGTGCTTGCCAAGAATGGCTCACCACCCAAGGGACACCCCTGCGTTCCCCACTCTCAGCCATGGCAAGCGGCCATCTTCAGATCCTTCTCTTTCTACTGCGGAGCCATCCTCCTAGATCAGAGCTGGGTACTCACGGCAGCTCACTGCAATAATGGGTAGGTGGGCACAGGGAGGAATGAAGGTGGGCATGTATGCTTGCGGTTTCTCTGGGGTGGGCAGGGATGACAGCATTTTATTTATTTATTTATTTAAAACATTTTAATGCTGCCTTTAAACTTGATTACTACCTTTGATGGAAGAGACACACATCCAGACACATTGGATATTTGTTACCAGAACAATTTGGAGATCATGTGCAGTTACCATGAGAGATTATCCATGGCCTACTGTGTAAACTTTTAGCAATTGCACATCACATGAGAAAGCAACACCTGGCTCTAAAGAAAATCTTTATTCATATATTTATTTCTGGATGTGTGTTGTTTTACGATAGTAATATTGACCACTGAGGAAGGCCCTAAGGGGCCGAAACGTGCATGGTCTACTGGTCATAAGATATACCCATCAATTATATATGTAAAACTATCGGCTGTCCGTGTAAAAAGTTTTAAAAGTCTGATATTTGGATCATTTATTTTAACCTATTTTATCTTTTACTAATGTGTACACCATAATAAATATTTGTATTTTTGTAATAGCTTGTTTTGTTAGCTTGACGAACAATCAAAACATGAATATATTTTTAAAAAGAATACATAGTATAAGAACAATTAAAAACTAAAACTGAGCAAAACACATGCACAATTAAAGCACATAGACAGGAAGTGAGGTCAGCGAAGGAACATCAGACGAAACAGATAAGTCATCTGACAGAGAAGACAATGACAGAGGGACAGAGGGATCTTTCTGCGTGAGGAATTCCATAAGTCTGTTGCCATAACTGGATTTTTCAGATTGCTACCCATCTAGCCTAAGATGGCGGGGGCACTTGAAGCAGGGCCTCTCAGGATGGCTGCAGTGGTCGGGTGGATTCAGATGGTTCAAATGTGACAAAATTGCTTTGATTTAAAGAAAAATAGGCAAGAGTCAATGAATAACGTGAACGCAATAGGTGAGCACCCCTGCCTATGGTTACCAGCGTCAAGGTAAGGTCTGGAGTTTTCCTGGAATTATAACTGATATCCAGACTACAGAGATCAATTCCACTGGAGAAAACGGAAGGTGGAAGTGAGAAGTCATAGAGTGATACCATATCCCCTTAGAGGTTCCTGCTCCCCCAGACATCCAAGAATTTCCCAAGAATTGCACATCACATGAGCCAGCTGGTCCATAGGCTTGCCAAGTCCCCCTGGGGGGCGGGGAACCCCCCGCCCCAGAGGCCCGTTCCCCACCATCGCCAGATTGGGCCCCGGGGGGAACTCCACCCCAACGTGCATGTCACCAGGAAGTGACGCGACCACACTGGGCACGCTGGGGGCGGGGCCACAGTCATCCGAGGGAAAACTCTATGGTTTTCCCTCGGATGGTCACGGCCCCGCCCCCAGCGTGCCCGGTGTGGTCGCGTCACTTCCTGGTGACGTGGATGCGGCGTTCCAGGATCGACCCGTGGATGCGCGCACTCCAGGATCGACCCGGGAGTCTCCCGCTTCAGGATGAGGTACGACTTGGCAACCCTACTGGTCCATGATGGGAAGAAGCCCCTGAAACTGGGGGCTGGCAAGCCTGCTTGGAGGCGAACAGTATGGCACCACACTCCTGCTGAGCTCCCTTCCCAAAATCTTCCCTCTCTAGGCTCCACCCTCAAATCTCCAAGAAATCCCCAACCCTGAATTGGGAGCCCTGCTTTTGAGTGAAGAAAGAGTAGTGGCATCCTGTAAACTTTTTAAGGTGCAGTACAAAAAAGAAGAGAATTCAAATAGGATAGTTGACCAAAGGTCCTTTTTAATTTTGTTTGTTTTTAAGAAAGGGAAATGAGGGGGAGAAATGCTCAGTCTCAAAACTGAAACTGAACTAGTGGAATAGTGCCAGAAATCTCTAGGGAATAAAAATATATCCTCACTCTGCTCCCAACTCCTTGATCAGCACCACCAATCCACAGTCCAGGGCAAATTCCCACCTGCGTTGCTTCCTTCACAGTGCTGTCCGCATCCGGCTCGGAGAAGGAAACCTAAATCACTTTGATGGAACGGAACAATATAAGCATGTGATCAAAGCCATTGTCCACCCTGAATACAATCGCTCAACCCACAACAACGATCTCATGCTGCTGAAACTGATGACCCCAGCAAGGCTGAACTGCTACGTACAGCCTTTGGGACTGTCTTCCCAGAGGGCAAGTCCTGGGGAAATGTGTTTGGTATCAGGATGGGGAGCTCCCATAAATGCTCAAGGTATGTACACTACGTTGGCTTGGCTTGGCTTCCCTGATCCAAAAATATAGGTATCCTATCTAGGTAGGGTTGCCAGTTCAGGGTGGGAAAATACCTGGAGATTTTGGGGGTGGAGCCTGGGGAGGCAGGGATTGGGGAGGGGAGGGGCCTCCGCAGGGTACAGTGCCATAGAGTCCACCCTCCAAAGCAGCCATTTTCTCCAGGAGAACTGATCTTGGTCATCTGAAGATCAATTGTAATAGCGGGAGATCTCCAGGCCCCACCTGGAGGTTGGCAGCCCTTGGGGTACCAACCTCAAGGTAGAAGAAGAAGAAGAAGAAGAGATTGGATTTATACCCCGCCCTTCACTTGGAGTCTCAGAGCGGCTTACAAACTCCTTTCCCTTCCCCTCCCCACAACAGACACCCTGTGAGGTGGGTGGGGCTGAGAGAGCTCTTGACAGAAACTGCTCTTTTTCAAGGACAGCTGTGCCAGAGCTTGTGGCTGACCCAAGGTCACATCAGCAGGTGCAAATGGAGGAGTGGGGAATCAAACCCGGTTCTCCCAGATTAGAGTCCGCACACTTAACCAGTACACCAAACTGGCTCACTACCAAACAGGTAGGGCCTGATGTTCTCCTGGAATTACAAATGTCCTCCAGACCACAGGACTCAGTCAGTTCCCTTGGAGGAAATGGCAGCTTCAGAGAGCAAACTCTATGGCACCATATCTCCACTAAACTCCCTCCCCAGATTGCGCTTCCCAGTTACTGCCCCCAAATCTCCAGGGATTCCCCAAAGCAGAGCTGGCAGCCTTAATAGCAACAGCACTGTCCGTACTATATGTACAACCTATATGTTCAAAGATATGTAGATACAAATGGGGAACCTGCAAGTACTTGCAGTGGGTCATCTCATTTCTCCCTCCTCCATCATCTGTTTTTTTCCCTTCCCTGAAAGTCCCAATAGTATCTCCTCTTTTCTTGCTTCCTTCTCTCCTTCCCACTTACCAGCCAGGGTATCTTTAATCTTCTGGCAGGCTGTCCCTGGAAACACTGTCCATGGGGTCAGCCAATGGGCTGGACCAGTTGTGTGATTTAGGAACCCACGGGGACTGCCAATGTTCCCTCTAATTCCCCCCCCCCATCCTACTGAGCAGAGCAGTTCACTACTTGAAAAGAATATAAGTGCTGTCATCTTCAAATGGGCAATGGGCAGTGCAATACCCTGTGTGGTTCCAGATTGCTGCTGCTGCTAAGGCACTCAAGCGCACGGCTTAGAGGGAACACTGACTGGTACCCCCATATCCTCACTTTTCCGTGTTTCCTTCTCTCCTACCCACACATCCACCTTTCATCTGCTCCTCCTCTTCAGCTATATTATTTATTTTCTTCATTTATACCCCAGTATACCCCAGAGCCAGTTGGGTGTAGTGGCTTGGGAGTGCAGACTCTAATCTGGGAGGACCGGGTTTGAGTCCCCACTCCTCCACATGCAGCTGCTGGTGTGACCTTGGGTCAGTCACAAGTTCTCTCAGAGCTGTTCTCTCAAGAGCAGGTCTGGAAAGAGCTCTCTCAGCCCCACCTACCTCACAGGGTGTCTGTTGTGGGGAGGGGGAGGGAAAGGAGATTGTAAACCACTCTGAGACTCCTTCGGGTAGTGAAAGGCAGGTTATAAATCCAATCTCCTCTTCTGTCTACACAGTGGGCAGCTTACATTGTTCTCCTCTCCTCCATTTTATCCTCACGCTTTTGTATTTTATGTAGCAAACTGATTATTATGTTCTCATCCTTCTCCCTGTCCCCTTCCAGATTTGTTCTAGGTATATTAATGTCCTGTAAGATTAATTTTATTTATTGCCATTCTGTAAATTATATGCTTAGTAACAAAATTCTTGCTTACCCTAGTACTGGTATTTGGTTGTCAAATTAGTTTGTGGTGGCCATGTGCTGTGGTGATTAAAGTTTCTCAGAGGTGGGGGACCTGAGTTCAAATCCCCACTCTGCAATGAAGTTTGCCCAGTGACCTTGGGTTAGTCTAGGGCTGGCAGCTCCAGGTAGGGTGGAGCCTGAGGAGGGTGGGGGGTTGGGAAGGACTGAGAGCCAGGTTGGTGTAGTTGTAGTGTAAGGTAAAGTAAGGTAAAGGTAAAGGTTCCCTTGCTCGAAAGCCAGTCGAGTCCGACTCTAGGGTTGCGGTGCTCATCTCCGTTTCAAAGCCGAAGAGCCAGCGCTGTCTGAAGATGTTTCTGTGGTCATGTGGCCAGCGTGACTAAACACCAAGGCGCATGGAACGCTGTTACCTTCCCACCGAAGCGGTACCTATTTATCTACTTGCAATTTCTTGCTTTCGAACTGCTAGGTTGGCAGGAGCTGGAACTAGAGATGGTAGCTCACTCCGTCATGCGGCATACTCGGGTCTCGAACTGCTGAACTACTGACCTTCCACAGCCTGCAGCTCAGCGTCTTGACCACTTGAGCCACCGCAGCTCCTAGTGGTTAAGTACACAGACTCTAATATGGGAGAACCGGGTTTGATTCCCCACTCCTCCACTCGCAGCTGCTGGATGACCTTGGGCAAGCCATAGTTCTGTCAGTGGTGTTCTTGAAAAGAGCTGTCAGAGCTCTCTCAGCCCCACTTACCTCACAGGGTGTCTGTTTTGGGGAGGAGAAGGGAAAGGAGTTTGTAAGCTGCTCTGAGACTCTGGATTTATACACTGCCCTTCACTCAATCTCTTCTTCTTCTCTTCAGTGAGGTATAATGTCGTAGAGTCCACCTTCCAAAGTGGCCACTTTTCCCAGGTGAACTGATTTCTGTCGCTTGGAGATCAGTTGTAAAACCTCCAGCCGCCACCTGGGTTAGTCTCTCTCTCTCTCTCTCTCTCTCTCTCTCTCTCTCTCTCTCTCTCTCTCTCTCTCTGCCC